GAAAATTTTAGAATTGCCTTGCGTCTAATTCTTTCTAATCTTCTATTTCATCAACATCAGTTTCTTTTTCTGTTTTGTTTTCAAGATCTCCATCAATAGGTCAGATAGTTGGAATACGTACAACATCTGAGGACAGTTTTTCTATCATCTAAGTCTATGGCCAAAGCTTATCATTACATTGGTTTTGGTTTTGCTAATTTTTCTCATTTTACTAGGTTTCTTTGAAGCTTTGTGTTGTTTTATTAGGTTGTGCATATATGTAGTCCTGAATTTCATCAAACTGCTTCCCCGTTTTCTTCCCATTGGTTTTTGCATAAACATTCTTAATCATAGAAGAAATGATTAATAGCTGTAAAGAGTTTTAAAATAATTACAAGAGAAAAATATCAATTTCTTTCAATTAAACATTAAAGATTATGTTGTTTTAATGGTTGATGATTTATTGAAAACTAAAAAACAAAACAAAAACATTTTCATTGATTTAATTGTACACTGTAACACTGTGTCGTATTAATTTAAAACGATTAAAGGATAAAACTACTACTAATATTTGTTTTATTTCACACTTGAGTCATTGTCAAATATCTTTAGATTTATTTAAATTTTTTATTTTGTTGTTATATGCATACTTTTGGTCTGCTGTAACAAACTGCTCTCATGTTGATCCGGATTCTTATCTCTATGGGGATTTTTTTTTCTGTCGAAATAAAGGACAAATTTCTGCCATATAATGGAATTTTATAATAACATGAAAGTGACAAATCCTATAATTTATTCAAAACTAAAAATAAAAACCGGATTATTCAATTGAAAGAAATGAACACACGCACTAATCCCCTATATTTATTTAAGGTTTTAAATCTTAAACATGAATAATAATGGCCAACAATTTCAAGAAAAATGTCAGTTTTTAACGACACAATACATGCATATTCATATCTTGACCAAATGAAGTGTGAACAGTTGCGTAACAAATCTAGTTTGAAGTCTAAACATCTTTGTCTAATATTTACAATAGCAATTATCAATGTTATCTTATGTTAATCTTAAGCACATTATATTTTAATACGAATAATGATTTAATAGTTATGAGCTCATTTTCATATTTGTTGTTATACCTTTGTTTTAGCAAACAAACTCCCACTATGAAAAGTATCAAGATAAGAACAGCTCCACCCGCTGATGCACCTATGATTAGGTTGTTGCTTTCTTTTTGCTCTTGCATTACCGTAAATGTTTCCTCAGTAACAGTTTGGTGTGTTTGTTCTTGCATTATCGTATGTGTTCCAGCAGTTACAGTTTCTTGTGTTTGTTCTTGCATTACCGTATGTGTTTCAGCAGTTACAGTTTGACGTGAACTTGCTCCTGTTTGAGTTGTTGCTTCCTCTTTTCAAGTTAAGACATTTTAAGTAAGAATAACGTATACATGATGATTATGTATTCAAGCAGATGCTGGTATGTTAAGAGGTATTGGACATTAGGGTGTGCTCATATTTGCCGATAATGAAATATCCGCTATTAAAGTCATCACAAAAATAGACACGTTTCTTCTTAAGAGCATTTCAACAATTCTATTAATGACACATGTTTGTAAAATCTAAAATCTTTAATTTCATTGATATCAATGTCTGTACAAAAACATATGATTACATGTTTTGCAGTTGCTACCCAATAGTGATCATTTTGTTAATGTCACCATAAGTCAGGGTGACAAGTTCAATGATGGTTAAAAATATTCTATGCTATAGGTCATTATGAATGTGATAAAACAATCAACAATTATATCATGGCAATAATTATATGAACTTGTTTACCGATAGTGGTAGTTTGAGTACAATTATCTCCTGTCAATCCATCCTTACATCCATCAGTACATGTTTTGCCATTGAATATATGTCCTTCTGGACAATCAGCGCAGACTAACGAATCATTGTGTATTTGACACTTGTTACAGCCTTGAATAACACAGTCCGAACATTGTGTTCTTTGCAAACATGGCATACAATGAACATTGTCATTAAACTTGTAGAGGTGATAACCCTCATTGCATTTATAACATTTTTTTGCATCAGTACAATGTTTACAATTTGTCGGACAGTTTTGACATATTGTTTCGATACCGGTTTTATAATCATATTGTCCAGCTGTACAACCACTCGAACAGGTACGTAAATCACAACTTTCATTTTCACATAAACTACAATTGTGTTGACATTGATGTCCATAGAAACCAGGCTTACATTGCGTACAATATCCCGTATCATCAGCGCATTCACTGTTTAGACAATTACCATCACAGATAAAAGTACATCTTGCGTGCAGACCATATTTGTTTGGCTTACATAAAGTACAGTCATCCCAGCTATTACAGCTTTCACAATTTTCGGGACATTGTGAACAGAAGCCATTTGATAAAGAGTAAGATGATTCGCAACTTGTGCAAGTTGCACCAGAGCATGATTGGCAGCCAACAGAGCATTCTGTAAATATATATTTCTTTGCCTATTTACATTTTTAGTTATATATAATTCCACATTTACAATGTAAAAATCCACAAATATGCCACGACAGATATCTTATAAAAATATATAATTCTTAACTTGACCACAAACAATTAGGAATCAAGATTAAATAAACTTTAGTAGTCAACATTCTATATATAGATTCGAAATAATCGAAATTAAAAGAAAAAGTTTTAACAGAAATTCACACAATTGTATTCTTACAGTACAAATTATCATGAAGTAAAATAGCTTACCAGTAAATACCATATCCACAATCAATACCACTATAAGTGCTGACGTTTCCTTAAGCAACATTATTTCGCATTTATATATGCAAATCTAAAAATTAGAATTTTATATATAGATGATAATGTGATTAACTTACGGAATACCTAATATTATGTTTAAACGTAACTAAACGATGCTGCTTTAATTCTTCTTCTTTTTATTTTGTTATACCTTTTCATAAAAAAAAAACAGACTAGTATTAAAGGTATGTATTTTGTATTCGTGATTTATAGTCATTACAATAAAATATATTAGACATATCAAATGTATCATGCAGAGTTTTAAGGTACAATGAAGCTTAAACAAAGACCTATTATTATATTTAAATTTAAAAGAGTTCCTACAATATTTGTTATTCCTGTTTAAAAAGCGAAAATAAAGAAATTAAGAAATATCACTAACCATTCACTAAACCGAACAATAGCTATAATATATTCAAAACTTCCTCTTTAAATTGTTGTACCGTATGCATCAATGACTCCCTTTAAAAGATTACTTTTAGAGTCAAAACTATTTGGATTGATTCGGTCAAAACAGAACAAAATCGTTTTTAATTAATAAACGCTATTATCTTCTTTGCAAAGAACAAGTCTCAAACCGTGCCTTTAAAAGTGAATAAAACTTTAAGAAAATCTAAAATGTATCAGAGTATCAAACATGCATTAAACTACTTTCAATGAAAAACATACTTACAAAAGGTTGTGACATTGAAACTCACCATATTCAGGAATTAATCTTCGTGAATTCCATATTTAAACTAAATATATTGACGCTTTAAATTGCATGAATAATGATTTAAAGTTTATCATGAGTACAATTTATACTTAATCTGTTAATATTGATGATGAACTATTAGGCTATAGTAATGAGAAGCAAATATTTTATCAACATACTTACCTAGTACACCACTATCCCATAGTTATACACATTAAATATATAAGAAACAGATGTACATGTAAAATGTGAAAGTAACAATAGGCCGTTATTAGATTGTGAAAGTAATAATAGGCTATTATAAGATATAAGTATTAATTGTATTCATACATATCTTTTTTTCAGATTTTAATTTAGTTTAACAATATCTTATCACTCTTTGAATACAGATTAAATAACCATTATTTTCACATAACAACAATTTTATCTAAGGTACCAAATTCAAGCAGCTTTCCCTTAAGCATTATAAGATATAGACACGAAAACATGTTTACACACTATACGCATGAGAAATAACAAAGATTAAGACGGGTACAAATATATAGCAGCAAATCGACATAACTTTTGAGATAGAAGAAATTTAGAAAAGGTATTATAATTATTATTATTATTATTATTATTATTATTATTATTATTAAACAAATCATTTCCTACACTTGCAGACCATGTTTGTTTGTGTTGCTGTTGAAAATATGCCAATTATAAAATTATACAAAAGATTTAAGTTTTATGTTCCGACAACAATTTGATAGTAAACTTTTTTCCTTATTTTATTTATAGATCCGCAAAAATATACAGTGTATAAAATAGTTTACATATTAAGAGGATAGCCTCTGCATATAAGTATGCATTAAGACTTAAAGTATCTAAAAATCAACTTGTTTAGATTACTTAAGACGAATAAAGTTCGAGAAACATTTACAACACTTTTAGGTTTTCGTTTCTTTGTTTGTTGTAAAAATAAAACATTTTATAAAACTAAAGTCGAAAGTCTTTCCATAAAAGTATCCGGGACGATATTTTATGTTTCGGAATAACGGAAGTGTAAAGAGAAAAGCTCTCAGACTGTGTTGATAAAGCCCAAGACTTGATTGGAAACAAAATGAACATTGAAAATGCTAAGAAATAATTACTTTACAACGTGCTCATAGAATCGGAAAGTACAATTCAAATAAAGTAAGACGCGTTGTCGCAAAATTTGCGTTCGTCCCGAAATGTAGTGGGTGGTTGTATCTTTATGCTCAAATATCAAAGTGATACTAAACGTATGTCCTTTGTATAAGACGTTTGATATAAGTGATGATAAAATATTTAAGACAATACGTGGCAAGTACCAAAAATAAATAATAAGCACAATACTTACGTCTGCCTGTTGTAAAAAGAAGAAAAAAGAAATATCACTTAACACTTTACAAACGACAAAACGCGATATATACCTGACTGATCGCTACAACATAAACCTGTTTAAAACTTCCTCTTTATATGTTTTGACTTGAATACATATAGTATGCAACAGTGACGCCATTTAAACCATTCTCAGGTTATTTTTAGACTCGAAAATACATGGGTTGATATTTTGATATATTATACAAATATGGACTTTTTAGCTGTTGAATATGATGTGATATGTACTGAAAAAAATTAATATTGACCAAGGCATATTCAACAGCTAAAAAGTACATATCTGTTTTATTATATAATTTATAAATAGCTTTTATATGACCTATCACATCTGCCATTGCATACGACGGAAATCTTTTTTTTTTCAGCTTGTCTACTGTTTCCATAATTTGGCTCTTTCTATTGGCATGCTTATCCATATTGTTCTTAAAAATGAAAAAAAACGGTAACTAAAATAGACTAATTTGACTCTAATTTGAAAATATTATGTTCACGTAACAACAATTTTAACTAAGGGCAAAAGTCTGAGACAACACGTTCCAGCAGCATTATCAACTGTCTTTCCCTTACGCATTAAAAGATATAGAAAAGAAAACATGTTTAAACACTATTCGTCGATGAGTAATACAAGATTTTGAGACGACCAACAAGATATATAGCAGTAAACAGAAATTGATCATTAACTTTTAAGAGTAAAAATACCAAATTTGCTATCAATTTATTATTTTTTTAAAACGAAACCATTTTCCTGCATTTGCACATGTATGTGACGATTTGAATGCTGTTAAATATGTCAATTATAAATCAGATTTAAGTTATATAAGGTCCAATCAAACGACGGGCAAGTAATATCCTTTTTCCTTATTTCATCCAATGGATCTGCGAAAATATATATTAAATATTTTAACAATATAAAGACGATGGATTTTCTAAATAAAGTATGTATTTAGACTTAAAATCATGTTTAGAGTAAGACGGAATAACGGTGGTCAATAACCAGTTATGACGCTTTAAAGAATTTCCTTTTTTGTTTGTTTTGTAAAAAATTAAACAATTATTAAATTATTATTTCATAAAAGTATCGGATAACTATTTTTATTTTTCGGCATAACGGAATTAAGGGAGAGAACCTACAGACCGATGTTGGAATAAAAGCTCATGACATTGATATGAAACAAAATAGAACATTGAAATGTTAAGGAGTCAATTATTGGGGCAGCGTGCTGGATAGTATCGGCAAGTACCAATTCAAATAAAGTGAACACCGGCCCCGTTGTCGCAAAAATTTGGAGTCGCCCTCCCAGAAAAGGAGTGCGTGCAAATGCGAGTAGTTAGGCTGACAAAACCATATTGTCAACAATACCAAAATGTAGTTGCAGAGATAAGGAGACGCCTTGTCCCGATTATGCTCGTTCATACGTGTCGCAAACTTTTCATCAAAGGTGAATTATACAGGGAATGCAAAAGTGCCGTAAAGAGAAAACGGTATTAAGGGAAATAATAGGGGTAATATAAAGTGTTCATTTCTGAATGTTCAAGGATTACAGTAACCCAACAAAAAATGGCATATCCCCAGTTTTTAAAATTCATTGAAAAGTATGATTTGATATTTCTAAATTCTAAAATAAATTAAATGTTTATAAACAGTTTCATGCAGTGACACAGAGGTGGAATGTATGTGTGTGTGTGTGTGTGTGTGTGTGTGTGTGTGTGTGTGTGTGTTTGCACGCACGCGTGCGCTTGTGTGTGTTTATTTATCTCGTGCGCACGAGATACTATGTCGTTACCACGAGTTTCTTAGTCGTGCCCACGAGATAATAAAGTGGTGCGCAAGAGATACCATGTCATGACCACGAGTTACTAAATCGTGCACACGAGATGATTAAGTCTAGGGCACGAGATACTATGTCGTGGGTACGTGTGATTTAATCTCAAGCGTGGGTAAAAGAAAATGATTCACGCTTATGAGATTAAACAGATTTTTCAGTGGACGAGTTTTTACCATGTGCAACGACTGATCAAGGATAAAATTGCTTTGGCAATCTTTTCTTAGATTTATGTAACGCATTAGACCTTCGTGTGGTAAATTGCCGTATTTGTGAAAATGCGAATAGCATGTACATTTTATACACATAATTGTGAACGTTCCTTTGTTTTACTGATAAATGTATTTTTTGTAAATTTACTATTTCAATGGGTGTATTCCAATCACGCGCATGTAACATTTTTACGTCCGAACAGCGTATCACATTACAAAAAATACAAGCGAGGTTTCCTTAAGTGAAATTCTCAGTATAAAAATGAATTCTTGAATGAAATTTCACGTGACGTAGATGAATTATGTACTGACTTAAACGCATATAAAACAGAAGCCAAGGTACGGATTCTTTGGTCAATTATGTATCTGTATTTATTACTAGCAGAGGAAAGTATTTTGAAATACATCGTTATATACCTAATAAAACATTTGTTGATGAAAGTCATTCTATGCTTTATCTACTTGATTTAATGATTTAGGTAGGAGTAAAAAGGAAAGTTGTAAAGAAGCGTTTTTACAATTCAATAAGTATGACATTCTAAATAACATTGTTTTGTATAGTAAGCAAAATATATAAATGCCTGATTAAAAGACTAACTAGCATTAAAAATGGATGAAATGAAATAGGAAAGAAAGTATAAGCATAATGTCAGTAAAAGTGACGTAGATGTGGTTATAACTTCAGTAAATTTACTTGCATTAATATTTTATACCACGTGAAGGTACATGAAAGAACTGAGATAGAAATGTTTTTAATATATTTCGGATTTATTAATTTTTATTTATACTTTTCAGAAATTCAGGGATAAGTTATTTGTGATCAGTTCGGGGTTGAAACTTGTGTACGCTTGTGGCATTGCTTTTATTGACAATTATTTATATATTCTTCTTTGA